TGCAAGTTTTTGTTGACACTCCAAAAGAAAAAAAAGACATTGGGGTGGGAGGATTAGATGAGAGAGTAAAATTAGGGTGAGAAGGAGGGGGGGGGGGGGGGTTACCGCAGTACTCGGATGAGAGACAGGACTAAAACTGCGGTATGTACCAATATCCAGGGGCTGGAGAGGCCACCAGGACAAGTACCGCATGGACTGTATATATACTGTCTGAAGACAAACAGTCCAAAAAATCCCTTAGTCGCCTTTTACGACGGGAAGAGATGTGTTGGCCTTATTCTACTTCGCCGAGAACCACACGGCATGATGTGAGAGAATTTCGTTTATTTTTAAACACTCACTGTAGGTAGTTAATAAACTCACTGAATAGTCTTTTGTCATTGCAGTTTTAACAACCAGCTACTACTGTAGGAATTTTTAGTTTTTGTTACTCTAAAAACTAATCAGATTTCATTATCACATGATGTTGTTCACTTAGTCCGCGTTTAAGTTGATAAATAAATCTACTTATAAATAGCTCCAAGTCATTCATTTGATATATCGCAAAGATCACTTAATAATTTTTAAGTTCTGAAGAATTAAAAGCATGTCAATATTAACATATACATTTAGGTTAATTCAACATAAACTATTCCACCTATTTTATATATGCTCCTTGTCTGCTATTTTAGTACAAGCGTATTTAAGTAAAATATTCTTGCACGAAATTATGTACTTACATAAATCGTAGGGAAAAATTAAGGGTGTTAAATTTTTTAGTTAATCACAATATCCAAAGAAACACGGGTCTTGTATGCTATATTCTCGTGACATACAAGCTGAAGCATGGCATAGTGTATTGTTGCAATCCGTTTTCCTATTTAATCAACCTTGACATCTTATGCAGGAGTTTAACATTTATAAAATTAAGATGAATATATCGTTCAAAGCAGCAGAACACCAAGAATGTCCCAAGGCACAGTTAAAAAAACTTAAGTAAAACAGTTTTTTTATCTGTACTGTGTTTTCCACAACAAAATTCCAGTTTTTCTTAGCGTCCATAGCAAAACTTTACCAAACTTTAATGCAAAAAGAACCTTTGGAGTGTCAGGGAACTTAATAAAAACAGAAAATCTTGGTTTATTCTGTAGTCAAAGCACCAGTAATGTTACCTAATTTTTTTATTTTGTCTTTGTATATATGCATGGATAAAGGGGTAACAGTATAATATATTAATATGAAAGTGATTTTAGCTTTGCGTTAATCGGAATTCGAGAATGAGCATAGACAATGTAAACATGACAATAGGAGTAGGAGTAAGGGGCTGGTTGGAACTCGTATCGGTGGCGTGCCACTCGTGAGATAACACAACGCGGCGTCTTTGTGGACGGATGTAAAATTATTAAGCAACGAAATGCCGTAAATGGGGTTTGCCTCTGTAATATCAAGGGTTAGAGGCTACTCGCTCCTAATATGAGGTTTGATACGATTAAGTTTATCGAATTCCGGGCGTAGGTACCTAATTACGTTTCACGATATCGCTGGCCAGCTTATATTATGATTTTTGGGACACGATATTGTGATTTTTTCCTTATCCGCCAAAAATTATAATGTATTTTAGGAACGACCGTTAGACGGGTTTCCCTTGCCCACTTTGTGTTCAGATAAATTTTTCGTACATATTTGAAGCGGCATTAAATTGTTCGAAACTTTGTCCGACAGTTTTCCAAATGCTAGGCAGAAATCGATTGACAGTTGGTTGATTCTGACGTTATGAAACCTTGCCAATGTTTAATTTCGGTCTGACTATGCCTGTGGCTGTGCCAATCAAAGTTGAATTTCGAATAAAGCAACCACAAAGTAAACACCATTCAATTTTATTACTGAGAACAGTCCCCTTTGAAAATCCCTCGGTGGCAATCCCGTAAATCTCTATTTGTCTCAACTAAAACAGGTCACGGCGGAAGGCTATTACGTTCCCTAAATGCTGCCGAACTCCCTGTAGAGCGCTCTAATCCACTTCGAACGGGCTGGTGTCAAACGCAGGGCAGGGTTGTTTGTATTGTTTATTGTCGCATTCTCGTTCATACGGCAAAGACGTCGTCGCCGTCGACGGCACAGGAGAGCATGTTTCAATTGATGGAGTCGCACAGTCGCCGAACTAAACTATTATATTTCTGCCCATGAGCGATACTTCTCCTCACTTAATGTCTACTTTACCTCACTTTGAAATATCAAAAAGCTTTAGTATTTCGAAGACGAAGTAAAATCAAAATCGCTTAGTAAATAGGATAGTAGATATGTGGCGATTAAAAATGTAAATAAATTTAAGGTTATGAATATTTTATTTTGTTTATTTGGTTTTTATTTGGAATAATAAATAGTTACACAGTGTACATTACAAAGTTACGTAACATTTACATTCAAGTAAATGTGCACTCATACTGTTATTCACAGAACACATTATTAGTAAACTATGTAAATTACTTTTGTTATAGATTACAACTGTAATATAAATATTAATTAGTTACACCATTTAAGTTACTGATATAATGATTAAGTTATTACGAAATTTAATAACAGGCAACGCAAACAAATCTAAATCTGTAACTAGATTCTGATAATCTGTTTTGTGAGTATCTTTAAACTAAAAAAGAATGATTAAATGGATTATTATTATATTAACTCATTTAATTAAGCTTTATGTAACTAATCATGTCAAGAACATATATTTTAAGTTGACTTATTTTATAGTGTGTACTTTACAACATTGTGTTCATAAAGGGCATGAACCTGTAGAAATAGGAAATATTCCACTTGTCTTTTCATATTAATTCATTAGAAGAAAATTGCACAGATAATATAGATCGGGAGACAAATTTAGAAGGCTTAATATTATTCTAACAGTACCCTAAAGAGGAAATGTATATAAACTTAAAAAACAAAAGAATTTTGTTTCAATAATGAGAGCTTTGACGAATGTGAAGCTTATACCAGCCGGCACGTTTTAGCAAAGAAACGTTTCGTCATTTGGATGGTTTTATGCGACAGATCGGCGTTCGAGTGTGGATGAATAAAAAGCACTGAAGAGCCAGTAGAATGGAACAAAACACTTGAAACAATATCGCGACAGAGCGGCAATCATTCTCGTTTTATCTCAGTTTGCGCACGTTGCGCCGCGGAAACGGCTCTAATAAAAAACTACCATGTGTTTCTACGTAGGTACATGTGTGTACTGTATACGGCATGTACACACATAAGGGGTACTGCTATGCTGCACCTGCGTTGGCGTTCCTTGTAGATTTGGAAAATTTAAAAAATATTCTGCTCTCGTTTCTGTATTTAGTGATTTCAGTGTGGGATATTTCAATTCACAGTAAAAGCTTTAAACTAAACTGTTGGAATCAGTGTTGATTTTATCTTATGTTTTACATCTCACTTTATTGAATAACGTAGTATTACAAATTAAAAGTTACTAGCTTTTGCTCGCGGCTCCGCCCGCGTGTATGTCTCGTGCAAAAAGTAGCCTATGTTACTCGTAGATAATATAGCTTTCCATTGGTGAAATAATTTTAAAAATCTGTTTAGTAGTTTAGGATTAAAAGCGTATCAGAGAAACAAACAAACTCGCTTTCAGATTTATAATATATAAGTTTGAATTTATGGGCCTGCTCCGCTGCTCCTGCCGGCCGCTGCCACTCGGGACCTGCCGCTTTGCCCCCCTTTTTCAATCTCGTATATCTTTAATAAGATATTCAGTTTAATTATATGCAATATATAAAACATGTTCTAAACGAAATGACATTAAAATTCTTCGAATTTCTCGGATTTCCTCTACTATAATATGCATGTATTCTACATATAAACCCGCCTCTTGAATTAATTTCTCTATTGGTGAAAACCGCATTAAAATCCGTTGCATAGTTTGAAAGATCTAAGCGTACAAGAAAGAAAGCGACTGTATTTTATACGATTTAAAGATAAAACAGTTTAAAATAAAATATTGGTTGTTGCATGGTTTGTCTCACCTTCCGAATTCACTTCTATCTAATATACAATCATTTAACATGAAAAAAGTTAAAATATTATCATGGTTTAGTTTACTATAAAACTAAAATAGAAAGATTCAAACTGTCTATGTGAAAGTTTGTACTGTGTAAAAAATATTACAGTATTTTTTTAAATGTCCATTAAATAATTCATTGTACAATGCAAGCTTTAAACTTCTTTTGTGACCGAAGATTTCAAAATTATGCAAAAGTAGCACTATTTGAAGTTGACGGCAAAGCGTCGTTTATACAGCAAGTTCATCTTTTACGAGTGAATTTTTATAATCCATTTTACAGCAACCATTGTCCTAGTTTTCGTAAACCTCACACTGCCACATAACAACTGTATGCGTACTATGTTTACATAACTACAAATAAATATGATATCGTATAAAAAGCCTGGGCATGCAAGTTTGAAAAGTAAATCAGAGTTTATTTAATATGTTTCTCTTCGGCGTAAAGTCGTGTCTAGAATGGTGGCAAAGTTTAACTTTAAGAAACCTTTATCTTGAAGTTACTTCCAAACTTTTCACGGTCAAGTTGCTTGTATATTTTATAACTTTACCTATCGAGTGCGTCTTATTTCTTAATAGAAGAAAATAGTTTGTATGAAACAGTTTCACGGAGCAAGCAGCGTTTTCAGATTTAATATTAATTTAGAGCATTCGTTTTGAAATGTTTTGTCTTCAGTTAAAGAAAGTAAAAGGGATAATTATTTGATATTTATTTTTGTTTCAGACCTATCCGGCGGTGGTAAAACGAAACGTTAATACGATTATAATTAAACAAGACAATACATTTTAACATATATTATATTATACAACAAGAGAAGACAAATTTTATTGCGCTTAGCACAATTTAATTGGAATTATTGAAATAATATAAACCTCATAAGGAGGGCTGTTATGACAACTTTGCGATGTGAAGCACACCTAAAGAGTTTATTGATATCAAATGTCCCTTGACATCGTGATGGTGGAATCATCGCGTCGTTCAAAAACTGTCACTATGGAAACTGGCGGTCTACCATTGGTTTCGACGTTCGCTCTTCTCACCATCGTTGCTGGTAAGTTCTATATTAATGTTATATCTTTATTAACAATACATTGACGAGCCTGTTGGTCTTGTGGTTAGAGACCCTAACTGCTAAACCGGAGGTCGTGGGTTCCATTGCGGTAGCGATCATGCTCATCACACAATATTTGTAGAGGGCAAACATTGTGTAATGAGCACGATCATTTGTTTTGTGTTGGGTGTTCTTTATCTTTAATATGTATGTATTTAGCAATATAATCCTCTTTAAAATAAGGCAATTCCTTTCAAAAAATATTTACTAAACTCCTTATAATCCGGCTTTGGTCCTGGTCACAGCACGACTTCTGCATTGGTTCACATCACGATTAGTATCAGACTAGGCAATTAGGCATGGATAGTGGAAAGATTACGGTACTCACATTACTTGATTTTAGCAACGCCTTTATAACTGTCCATTTTCACATTCTGCAAACAAAAACAATTGATTGGTTTCATAGTCACCTGTCTGGCAGTCGCGCCGTCAACGTATTTGTATTGAAGATTCGGTGTCTTCCATGGACTCAATGTTAATTCTATAAAGACGCAGGTATGTGTTATTGGTAGCCCTGAGTTGGTCTCAAGAATTAAATGCACAAAACTGCCCTTAATTCTCTTCGATAGCTTGAGATCAGTACTAGTGTTGAAAAGTTAGGACTTTATTTTGAAGAAGTCAGTCGTAAGGTATTTGCTTCTGCCGGATCCCTGCGAAGATTAAGAACAGTCCGACTTCCAACTTCCGACAGCAACTAGGCGACACTTGCACAAGCACAACTTGATAAGCTTGAGAGACTTTAAAATTTCTGTATCCGATATGTATTTTTTCTAAGAAAATATGATCACGTTTCTGAATTCCGTCAAAAGCTTAAGTGACTTCCAATGCACTCTCCCTAAAATCCTCATTTTTCTTTATAATAACTTGTTTAAATCTATAGCTCCCTTCTACCTCAAAAAACGGTTCAAGTTCCTCAATGACACACATGAAAAATGTCTGAGGTCATCCGAAGATTTGAGTCTGATATAAGTTGATAATAAAAAAAAAAACTAGTTCCCCATACAAACTTGCGCCCCTTTTTTAAGGATAGACGTTTTTTACTACTTTTAATGAAGCGTATTTACTGAGTTTGAAAACGCTATTACTAAAATTAACGAAATTTTATATAAATTTTTACTCCTATTTTGCATCCTTAGGAGTGGAATTTTTAAAATATTTTTTTAGTGCACTCCTACGTCACCTAAGGAACATTTGTACAAAATTTCATGCTTCTATATCCAGCGGTTTCAGCTGTGCGTTGATCGATCAGTCAGTGTATAAGTCTGTCAGTTTCTATATATTTACCCGTGTGGTGACGAATTAAAAATACGAAGTGTCACCACCCCTATTCATCCTGTGGGTTTAAAAAGAGCGTAGAGTTCTCTATAAAAATTATAACCAAAACGTAAAAGTATGCAACTGATACGGTCGCTCATATGAAGGAAGTGTGTGTCATACGTCTCTTCACTGCGCGTAATCTATCCTATAGGTAATTACATAAGGGTGACACACGTTGCTAACAGGGGAGTCTGTTGGTAATCAGTTGTGTAGGGACTGGGTTTGAAATTAGACCAAATTGGAAGGATGGCAATCACCGAATTTTATTTGCTTACGACACTTTTGTGGTGTGGTGTGGTGACGGATTGTCCCACCCCTATTCATCCCGTGGGTGTCCTAAGAGCCGGCTAAGGGAGCCAACTACACAGGACTACAGCAATGCAAAGAGAAGAAAAACTTGACACAGTCCCTATACCAACCCGTCTGGCCAGTGTGGCATAGTAGGCCAAAACCTCCATTCTAAGGAGAGGCCTATGTCTAGCAGTGGACTATTAAAGGCTGTTGATGATGATTGATGATGTATATAAATTTACAGATTTAGCTCGCGTTACAGTTACTCTATTTTGAATAAAATTACCTTAATGTACCCACATAATGGTATTCTACTGCCCAATGTTATCCCTGTAACATTTATTCAAGCGTGCCAAGCAATTAAAATTTAAACTTTAAATAATAAGTAATCTATTTTACTCATTGGTTATAATTAGGACCTTTTTGAATGCTTTTGCATATAGTTGGAATATTAGTCAAGGTAAGTTTACACCAAAACTGTTTCTCAGTAGGTAGTGGCGAAGGGAACACACCACTAATTGCAAGCCTGATGAAAGCTTAATATTCCGTCCGGCAATGTTACCTCTTTGAAAACATGAATTTTCCTTTCCTGTCTTGTATAAACTGATGCGAATTTTCTGAAATATTTTACTGAAATCGCCATCTAGTATAAATATTTAGGTACACGTTTTTGAAAAATGCTGGGCACATTACTGACTACTGGTAAATTAATTTATAACTAAAAGTACAATGGATGGAAGGGTGTAATTACTGCTATTCATACTAGTTTTTGTTATAATTCCATTTATTATAAGTTCTATAGTAGTATTTGTCGTATTTTCATTTATTTGATTTTATACTTATTAATTTTGCCTCTAGACATGTTTTCTTCAGACTCTAGTCAAGACTCCAGTCTTGTGCCTTTAGAAGTTGTTTAAGAATAAACAACAAATAACAAAAACTGACAAGACAAAGACAAAAAATAAATAAAAAAAGATATGTCATTAGAGTGCCTGGCTTTTTGGTCTATGGTTTAGCGACCCTAACTCGACTAGCCCAGCAAACAGAGGGTTGGTTGTAATAAAATAGAGTCTCGTGTTCGTGTATTGTCCTGTTTTCCTTGCAGTCTGCAAGTTTTCTGGACGATAGTCTAGAATATAACTGTAGTATGATGGTCTTTATAAAGAGTTTAAAAAGTTTTACGAAACGACGGACGATCGGAATTTAAATTTACCACTTTAAACGTATAATTTTATATAAGGAAACTTATAAGTATATACCGATCATTCTGTTTATGTTAGAATTGTTAGTTCTAGAATGGGTTGAACAAAATACAGAGTGCAGTATTTGTAAATAGGACAATACGAGTACAAGTTGCTGGTGCGCGCTTTCAGGTGAATAGAAAATATAAAGTATAAAGTAGTGTTAAAATGATACAATTATGTGAACTATGCTTAGACATGTCAACAGAATTGTCCTCATGTATTCATTTTGTTTCAACATCTAAAACTATTCCTTCTTAGTAACGAAGCGCAAAATATTCATTGTTGAGCACTCGAAGCTTTCAGAATATTACATTCTCCTCAGTTTTATGTGTTCAGTTTTTGAATCTTAAATCGAGCTTAGTAAATATTTTAAATAAGTTATATGTAGAGGAATGTTAAGTAACTCGAGTGAAAATCTACATATTTTTGAAACAATCTGAGCTGTAAACCAACCTAACTAGTCAAAATGGTAAACTCTTGCTTTCATTTCATAAAAGAAAAACACGTAACTTCCGTAATTATTATATTATTAATAGTTTCTAAATACAAATTCCCAATACTTCTCTAAAGATTTTATTAGATCTTTTTTCTGTAATTCTAAGCCAACACAATAGTTAAAAGATTAAATTAAACATAGTTTTACATGAGCCTTTTTTTTTTCTGTACATGTCTGTTGGGAACGTGAGTTAAAACTAGACCGCACTTGACGTGTTGTTGTAAATTGTTGCACTTTAACGAGTGTCTATAGTGGCGGCGGCCTGCAGTTTGGAAGCAATACCGCCCCAGATTCCCTCACGTGCCGCGCCAGACGTAAGGAACCCGCACTCAGCTCTACCCTACCGGATTCCAAGTTTAATTGAAAACGCTTATAAAACCTTTTCTTTTAATTGTTTAAGGCTTTTACTTCATCCCTGCCTCGTGCTCCGTGAAATGTTTAATTATAGATACTAATGAAAACTCGCCAACTGTTGAAACTTATACTATGCATTATAAATAATGATTTGTATTTTTGTGGAATGCGAACGATATGCATTAAGCCCACATTGGATTACAGCTAATCATTAGATTAATTGTATGGAAATTAGTGTTCGTACGCTCGATGAATTTAACGTAATTCCATCAGAATGTAATTATAGTTGTCGATGAGTGTGAAATATTGAATAATTGAAACACGTAATCGAATATGGAAGGCTCAACCGACGAATTATGATACAATGGATATAATTATTAAATTTATTTATATTGGCGGTCTACTCATTAAGGAAATTCGTAAATATAATCAATAATTTTATTGAAACTTCTGAATTGCATTTCACTTATTAAAAGAGAATGTTTATATTTGGTAGTGATATTTATTTATACATCGTAGGAGATCCAAATTTCAAGATAAAAACGTTGTTGTCGCAGTCGGGGAAAGTTTACTACTGCCCCCTAATTTTTTTTTCATTGAACTCAGATACTGCTCCGTGGATAAACCTGCATTTTTTGATGACTTAATTTTTTATAATGATACGATATAATAATAAAATACTTTGTAATTACTTTTTTAAATGCTGCTTAGAACAACATTACCTATATATTTTTATTTTTCATTAATAGTAAAGTTCATATTTAAGATGCGTTTTATTTAATAGCAGGGATCACTGCCACTTGTAACCGATAGGTTTCTAAAATATTTACTTTAACCCGTGGTTCGCGTTAGCAGTTCGGTAATGGTTATACCGATTAATTATTGGATTTTACAGTGCTAATAAAGTACTATAACTTTGTTTAATCATTGAGGAACTTCAACTTATTAATACAGTAAATTTTAACTTTTAATATGGCCAACGAATATTTCAACCACAAATTCGTCGTAGCACGTCTACAATAATTGAATGTCTGGCCCATCAACAGTTGATCATTCCTTGGCCAAAATTGCTTTGCCCAATTTTGTGTTACTCTAAATTATACCGGTTTTTTTCTTTACTATCGATCTCTTAATAACATTTATTTTATATTTCCAATGGATAAAGAATGATGTGTTGCCGGAGGCGCGAGTGACGAATGCCCCGGTATCAGGGCGTTATTAATTTTCATTTTACGTAG